AGTAAATTCTTTGATTATCCTCTTCCAACTTCTTTATCTGTCGCTTAATTGCAGAGTCTACTGGACGTTTAATTCTCTCAATGTTCTCACAATCATCGCTATTAGATCAACACGTAAGAAGTGCTCCTTACGTCATTCAGGGAATTAAGGATTATTCTAGTAAGATTGGGTGTCTCTTCGTTCCATACCAAAATTGGTTACTTTTGTTGGAAAGAACTACCCTATATACTTTCGTTGGAATTTATCTTTAATAGTGTTACTGACTTCATTGTTCAGTTGTATGAGTAGCTTGATAGTTACTAGGATCACACACCACTATAACTCCTGTTATTATATAGACATGGTGCTTGTAAAATGAGACTAAGAAGCATTTTCAGACAAGTGATTTGCTCCTGAATTTGATTATCTTGGATACATGAATATGAATGAATACTTTCGAATAGACTGTAGGTCTAATACTTAGCCTCAGCTGTATGTTATTTTTAAAGACATTTTACAAGTGCCTGTGGTTGAGTACTTACATATCATGGTATTTGGGGATTTGTGACCAACACCATATTTAAACTGAAAGTTGATATTTCTTGATGATACTCAGTCCTGGATTAACCATTAAACATATAATAAGCACATGCTTAGCGTGCCAAAAGAAGGGAACACAGAGTTTATTCCGATGCTGGATTTACTATGTTGCAAATTGTGCAGCTGAACCAGTGCCCACAAGAATAGGCCCAACAATTACTGCCAAAAAATGCTTAGAAGTAGGCCTATATATAGTATTGCATTGTTGTCCAAAAATAGATCTGCAATCCATATGACAATCTCTGTGGAGACATGTATTGGTAAAATGTTCTGGATTTTGTAATCTGATAATCTAGAAATAAAACTATTTAATTGCAGCATACATGTACTTGTAATTTTTGTTCTATTTCAAAAGTGTCACTATAATCTTTTCACTGTTTCACTCCTCCGAAGGCCTTTATCCACCTCTGCTCCTTTATGGGCTGCATGTACACCATTTTGAAGGTGCATGTCCATACAAGATGTTGAACTTTGTCATGTATATATTGTAATGATATATGTATTATTGCACATAGTATGCATTAGAATTAATAACTGGTTAAAGAGATTCTATAAGAATATTTTTTGATTGATAGCTGGGAGTTTGTTCTTCAAAATATGGGTATATAAAACAGTTTTATGAATAGTAGATGTTAACAGTTCTGGGAGTGACAAATGATTCTGCTCATTAAGAATTGGCCATGGGCTAATAAAAATCATGTGGTCATATTATGGGTTTTTTAGTTGAGGATAGTCTTCATTCTGACCTGTCAAAATGTACATTGAGATCAAATGATAATTCCCATCATATATAGAGTGATTGACAGATTAGACTTCCATGATGAAGTGTATATAAAGAAGAAATCAATCACTTTCAATCACTTTAATACATTACTCAAACTAGCCTGTCAATACATTTATAAAGACACATTCTCTGTTTACATTTATAGGCCTCTTTATGTAATACAAAAAATACAATAAGTAAACTGTAGCTGGATTATATTCATGTTTACAATGCATGGTCCTTGCACAGTTGTGTATCGATTGATTTTTTATATTTACGTCCCAATTCGAATATGGCACAGATTATGTCCTGCTTGGTTTCTGGTCCATAGTATGTTCGTACGTGTTACTTTAGGATACTGGTTATATGAGCCCTGTACTATAACTATTGCATGTTATGGGTTGTCCTTATGGCTTCTTGGCATGTTCTTAAATATCTGTTAAAAACTTTTGAAAAACTAATAGGAAGAGCTTCATTTTACATTAGTGTATCCAGGTTGATCTTAATCGCTTTCTGACAATAATATAGATCTTTCATTATAGAAATGGTAACTTCCTTCTAGGTAGTTTATATATAAGTCTAAGAATTAAAAACATGCCCACACTTTAATGACCGATCAATCACAGTTGTATAAGTGACATTTCAATTACATTGTACAATGTGTTTATGTCTACTAAATTGTTTGTGAAAAGCTTATGTCATTAAAAATATTTGTCATGTTTTGTTATGTGTTTATACTTGAACTATGGAAGTAATGGCTGTCGGAATGTTTTGGAGTGATATTACAATCATGGAGAATTTGGGTTTCCCATAAAAAAGGATATTTTTGTAATAGGTGAACAATTTCATGTAAAGAGGTTTTCAAGAATAAGGAAGGTTTCAAGAATTCATGTATAATACTATGGCCTGAAAAGTTTATTTGCAAGGTAAATGTCAACAAATAGATATATTGAAATGTTCATTCATGCTTTTATGCGTAGAAAAAACATATTTGAAAGAATCTGTTATAAATAAGAGATGATAAATCGGAATTTAGCTTAGTTTCTTTGTTGACCATTAATGCCTAAAAGGAAAATTGAAAGTTGGCAGGTATCCCTTAGCAAAATTTATATAACACCAATAAGGTTACCTTAAATTGAAGGAGTCCTGCCACTTTCCTTAACTATTCAAAAGGTCCTGCCTACAGATTACAATAAAATAATATGTTTCAGAGAGCACTTGCTAACTGTATAGAAGTCTTATCGTGTATGGTTCAAGAGTTTTGACGTAAATAGAGATGGTTTCTACTTTTAGTTGAAAGAATAACAAAACAGTCAAAAGCTGAACTATCTCTGAACTTTTTCCAACATGAAGACAATTAAAAATTATATATCCCAAAATTTTGGAAATGCATCCACTTGCAATAGGTTTATACGATACACTTGATTTTCACTATCCTACCTACTATTAAAACTGCAGTCATTACTGATGGCTGATTCACAAACGACTAAATATGTAGAATTGACTAAGCAATGTTTAAAAAAACGCAGAAAACGTACAAAGCAGGTGTACATGACTACAGTTAATACAGACTGTTCACACATAGAAAATACAATAAAAATTTTAAAAATTGAATGTAATTCACTTTATATACGTTCTTAATTCGTATTATATATTACTATATTACATTGATACATGTATATGCTTTTAGATCTATCTATTTTAAGGTTCCAAAGAATAGTTTTAATAAAGTTTTTATAAGCTTTCTGTCATGTTGTATTAATAATATTAATTATTCCTTTTTTTTAAAAGAAAATTACTTCGACAAGTTTATTATGTTGTTTAGATGTATATAATACAAAGCTAAACATTCAAAGGTTAAATTTTATTTGCTTGTATTGACATTTAAATGTAGTACATCCTTTAATATGCATGTTTGATGCACTAGATAGCCTATATTTAGAAATAGGAAATACGGTAATCCATAACATTCAGTTGACTCAATTGCATATTATAATCATACACCCTACTGTACATGCACTTGCCATTTCCTGTAAAGAATTATGAATTTAAAATTATAAAGGGTAGGACTCAATATCAAATGATTTGACACATATATCAAATGATATGGTTTATTTCTTGATAAATTCATTGACTAGAAAAATACTTATGTTGTTTGGTTGATAAAAAAGACTGATTTGTTCATACAAACAAGTCTGACATACCAGGTACATTTATTTAAAAGATTGAAGTGATCATGTTTACAAGTTATTTGTTTGAAGAATGATAATATTCATGTTTTTGGTAAAATAACAATGAGTATTTTTGCTAAAATTGACACACCTATAATGCTGAGTCTTTCAAATCTATAAATCTTATTTCATATTTGATAATTTTAAATGAAAACAAATCAGACAGAAGATATTTTATTATGATAAAACCGTACTACACCCCAGATATGTCATGAGTGGTGAGAATTTCAAATAACCTTATATTTACAGATAATTTTGATTTTTTACTGATGTCGTTCACCTTTATCACACTGACATGCCCTTCATACTTGTAGGACCTCTAGGGCATAGACTTTCTTTCATAATCTGGACAGTGGGCAGTTTGTCAGAATATTTATGAAGAATAAATCATCTTGTGGAATGGATGATCTCTGTTGATATGATTCTTTTGAAGAACAGGACATGGTTTGTGATGATGTGTAACATGTCTGTTCTAAACGCTTAGGCCTACATTGATTTCTCTTCTCAATTAGTTTTAAAAGAGCTGCCTAGAAAACCTTGTTGATTAGGTCAAAATAAAGTGTTGAATTGGCATTGATTAATTCAGTTAGTTGTGGGACATGCTCTATGCGATTAAATTTGCATTTAAAATATTAGGAGGAAGTCATTTTGTTTACCAAGTTTAGTTTTGTTTTGGGATGAAACTGTTGACTGTTTAAAATTTTACGTTATATCTCATCATTGACTATATCTCAACAGTGGCTCTATTTAAAATTGTAAATGTAGAAAGATGCTTCCTTTGGAAACAAATGAACATTTAAAATGTAATAGTTTTTAATTGTTCACCCATTTCTTTATAAAAAATTAAAACTTAAGTTATAGGTATTTTAGTAAGAATGTGTTTATGTAAAGAGTAGGGATAACATCTGCAAACTTGTTATGAACTTTGAAATTTAAATTAAATGTTAAACCCTAAAATTACCTTTAATGATGACTCAATTGGAGCACTTAAAATGCGAAGTCCACAGTCTGATAATATAGACGTTGTCTTACATTCCATCAATATTTCATCAGTTTCCATATAACTAACACATTACTGAACAGATTCATTCATGCATTTGAAAAAAAAAAATCTTTATTGTGCTATAGATAATACTTTAAAAATAATATTTAGATAGGACAAGTTATTGACTCAGTCATGTTGTATACATTAATATATCACATATAGTCCATAGTATTTACTAAGATAAGTCACACCCTATTATACATAATCATGAATTATTTTATGTTATTAAATATTGACAAGGTGTATTTGTTATATTAAATTGATTTATTGAATAGTGGGTAGATCTCAGTTTAACAACCAATCAATTACCATTATTATTTTATAAATTTATCTATTGTAACATAAGTCTATTTATTATAATTTTATTCTGTTTATTTTTCAGGTGTTTCTGATAAAACACGAGTTGAATCTTCTCATTCATTAAAACCAGGTGAGTCTGTAAAAATAACCTGTTTGGACATTTATATTGTTAAACAATACTTTTATTGTGAATAGGGACTGAAATACTTAGTGTGAAAAAATAGTTATTAAATATAGTAACCAAGTGATAACATAAATAGACTTTATAAGTATTATTGAAACAGTATAGTTTTAGGATTTGTCTTGTTTTCTATACCTCTTCTTCATTAGCCCAGTTGGTGCAGAAAAGTAGGACATTAAAGTTCATTTCATTTTGAGACTGAATTTGTTTTCTATGCAGAAAAGTAGGTAGATAAACCCCATTTCATTTCATTTCATTTCTGTTTTCTAAGTTTATTTGGTTCTATATTTCAGTGGAATTAAAAGTTGATTTAAAGAATGGGTAAGTACTTTCAATCTAAATAAATTAAATTTTGATAACCTCAATATATCCTGATTGTTTTTATTTTTGATATTTTTGATTTAAAATATTGAAAAGTCACTAATTTTGATGTCCTTTATTCAGTCTGATCATGAAAATCTTTAGTGGTTAATGAAAAAATAATTCATGTGATTTGACTATGTTCCAGTTAGATTAGATACACAAATTGAGAAAAATCTGCCAAGCTATCACCATATTCCTGAAGCAATGGCCCTAGAAATCCTTCTCTGGCCATTGCTGGATTGGCTTCTGATACTTGAGCTTTTGAGGGAGTGTGTCTATTCTTCCTGTTCAATCACATCTATCCCAAGCACAGCAACATGACAGCCCTTCGTTTAATCTGGGGTCTTTCCTAAAACTTTGGACAGTATTGTTTACATTGTATCCGTGTTGATAACCTCTTTTGTCACACAATTAGTTTTTCTGCAATATTCTGCTATGCACTGGTTAATTGGGCATAATAAAATCGGGAGTCATGACATAACATTATATAATCATATTTGGTTGAATTTGGAGCTCTGTTTAAAGCGCAATGATATTGTTACGCAGTTAGCCATTGGTTGTTAATCGGACTATTGACTAGTAAATGCCTCTAAAAGATTACTAAATGCCTCTAAAAGATTAGTCATAATTTGGAACAGAAATTTGCTTCCTTTACAGCAGTATTAAGTGGGATTAGCTCAAATCAAATGAAATGCTGCGAGGATATAGACATTTTAGCTTTCGGTTTACAAGTCGTACAAATTTTGATGAGATTTTCAAGTTGTTAAACTTTCATGAAAAATTATTTTTCTATGATTAGTTGAATCAAAAGTTATTATGGAAGTGCTAATTACATTTATTTTGATGGTGAGAGTGATAATGCGCCTTTAAAAGTTGAAATTTAACCCTAGGATTGTCATATAGACATGATGAATGTATTTTGGACATCTAATGTTTTCAATTTTCTGTATCCATGTTTTTGAAATGTTGAAATAGAATCTTTGACAACACCACTTTGTTATTCTTCATGCCATGCCTTATCACCTCAAGCTTGACCATAACAGCTACTTTTAAAAATGTTCTATCAAATTCAATACTGGTGCAATGTAGATTTTGTTATATATCCTTTATTGCCAATATAACATATTCACAGAATTGTTGAAGAAGAAGAATTGGAAGTTAAAACTGTTACACAACCAGTAGCAGAAATCAAACCTGTCGTTAAAGATGTTGCTCCAGACTTTATTATTAAACCAAGGAGACAACTTGTAGATGAAGGAGAAAGTACCAAGTTCAAGACTTCTTTTGAAGGGTCGCCCAACACTCAAGTTATATGGAGTAAAAATGGCAAAGAGATAACGCCTGATGCCCATTATAAGGTAGTTATTTTCAATTTATTATAGCTTTTTATATCAATACTGCTTCAGCTTTCTTGTGAAACATGCTTGGATTTTTTCTCCTTGTTATAAGGAAGTGACCAACAGAAATGATTTGCTCAATCAGAGCTTTAGGAAAGGGTTAAAAAGAAAAGTCTTAGAATGTTGCACTCGGTATATAGAAGAACCAAGTGTTATTTTCAATTTGTGTCTATGATGAAGTGTTAAATTTGTATTTATGTTGTGATAATTTTGTATTGCAGGTGTATGCAAAGGACGACTTTCACTTCTTGGAGGTAGTTGATGTATTACCAGAACACGGTGGATCGTATACTTGTGTTCTACAAAATCCTGCTGGATCTAAAACAACATCCGTTGATCTAGAGGTTTTTGGTAAGATAAATGCATATATAGGTACAGCTGACTGAAATGAGAATGTTATAATAAAATTCTAATAAATTGTGAATTTGTAATTTAAGAACAAAGAATTTTTGTCATTGTGTATTAACACTTGCTTTAGATTGGAGATTTCTTTTTTTTCTAGAAAAACCCAAACCAGTCAAAGTTGCCCCACCGACTTTACTGAAGCCATTAAAAGATCAGTCAGTAGCACTAGGAGAAAGAGATGTTAAATTTCAATGTACTGTCTCTGGTAAGCTAATATAATATTTTGCTTTCTTTCCTTGGCACGTAGGAATTTTTAAAAAGAGTTCTAAAAAAATGCCTTTAGAACAATATGCATTTATTGAGACTAAAATTACATTATGTTGCTTCAAGTTTTGCGGCATCATTAAGTTTTAAATTAAAAGTCATATGAATTTAATTTTTAGGTGCTGCTACTGGTGAAGTGACATGGTTTAAAGACGGGAAGGAATTAAGACAAGGCAGACAATACAAGCTAAGATTTGATGGCAGTATGGCCTACCTTGGACTAACCACAGCAACACAGGCGGATTGTGGTGTATATGAATGCGTAATTAAAAACAAAGGCGGGGAAGTCAGAACTAGTGGTACTTTAAATGTAGAAAGTAAGTATTTAGATCATATATAGATGTAAAAAGTTTTTTCAGTTGAAATAAATCATAAAATAGATAAAACGCACTAAAGGGGGATAATCTAAGGGTGTGTATGAGTTGTCTCCCTTGACACACTTTTCCCTTCCATGCAGTACACTTTTAATTCATCTTGAAAGTGCTGGTGTTGAGCAAATTGCACTTGTTAATTTTCCTGTTAAAGGCTCAATACCACTCTTGTTGTAACTGAATAATATGTCCCAATTTTTATTTTGGTCAACAAATTGCACTATTTTACAATATTCCAATTAATTGATGATACAAATTTCATCTTAACACACCTAATTTAAAAAATTGGAAAAAATTCAACTAAATGATTTGAAAAGCCTGACGTAAAGCTTTTCAAATGTAAAATATTTTTGAACCCTCTGGACAAGTAAAATAGGATTTAATGGATAATTTACACAACAGGTAGGACACTAACACATCTAGTACTTAGAATAAGGCTATTTTTTTTTCTGGAGCTGTCAAGCCAGCAAGAGTGTTATTGTCCCTTTAAAGTAATGAAACAAAATTTACAACCAGATTTGTAGCAACATGGAAAATAGATCTAATTCTTATCTGTTATTTTCAGATGAAAAGAGAGAACCACCATATTTTGTACGAGAACTTGAAGATATGGAGGTTGATGATGGGGATAAAGTAGAGTTGGTTGTAGAGGTCAAAGGTAAGTTTAAAGTTTTACCCAGTCCAGTTGATACACTGAATCTACATGGCCACTCTTTGAATATGACAATATTGATAGTATGGGGATGGGTGGAAGGAATTATAATACTTTGTTATTTAAGAAAATGTAAAAGAGTGTTCATGTTGGAGTTCAGTATTGTGCTGAGAAATTAATCTGTGTTACTGTTTTGCATGATTTGCAGTAACTGTTTAAACTTTTAAAAAAGACAATGAATATTGATTGACATTCTGTTTGCATGCATTAAAGAGAAAATCGTGAAATGATGAAATATCAATATTTGAAAAGTAACACATATATTGTGTGACCCCATAAAACTAACTCTAATTAAATAGGTTAATGTAGATAATTTTGGTTTAAAGCATGAGTGCATGTTTGCATGTTTTTGCTATGTTTTACAGGTAGTGAACCTATTAATGTGTTTTGGATTCACAACAATAAAGAAATAGCAAGAGATGATATGGATTATCAACAAACTAGTGTCAGTAAAAATGTTTTCAAATTAACAATAGCTAAATCTGTACCAGGAGATGCTGGAGCGTTTGTGTGTGAAGCATATAATGAGTTTGGAGATACCGATACTTTTTGTAATGTGTCTATTAGAGGTTTGTTTGATGAAAAATTGCGGGAGGTTTAGAATTTGTTAATAACTTGTAACACTCTCTGTCTTTCAAACTGGTTTTCAACTTTTCGTTTACTTTTAAAGGAAAGAATTGAATTGAAAGAAATAAAAGGATTTTATATGAGAAATGCTATGAATTTTAAAATAACTTTTTGCCTCTACAATTTCTAAAGTATGTCATTGCCAAGTTTTTTTTATTTTTGAAAGTACAGATTTTGTGCAAGTAACAAGTTCTAATTCTCTCTTAATTTTAATTAACTTTACAGAAATCTTTACTTCACTGATTGCTAAAAGACAAACAACAAATATTGCTATGCCATAATATAGTGTAAAAAATACATATGGTTAGCTGATGCAGCATCTTATGTCAATACAGCTGCCATAGCAATCTGTGACTTGGAGATTTCTGCTCTTTGATAACTTAACAGCATGGGATTTTGCTGCATGGAGAATTTGGTCTGATCTGGGATAAATTATTTATTTCCTTTTTTTCTTTCTCTCTCTTCAGATCATGACCTGACCAGCTCCAAATAGAAACAAAACAATTCCAGTCATTCATTCATTTGTTCATTCATTTTTCATCCATTTCATATTTCTTAGATTTTTTTTTCTGTAGTTTTGTCCTATGTTTTCTAATTTTCATTGTACCTTTACCATTATTTTTTATTTATTGCATGAGTTTGATTTTATTTTATCATAAATTTTGATATCCAGAAATTGAGAAATCACAAGCCCCTGACTTTATCATAAAACCCAAACTTACAAAGGTGACTGAAGATGAAAGTGCTATGTTTACATGTCGTGTAGTTGGCATACCATTACCTAATGTCTACTGGGAGAGAAATGGTAAAATTCTACGGAGCCAAGATAGATATCAGGTAAATTCTTGATGTTTTTTATCCTTTTAAGTGATGCCTACTTTTTTTATCAGCCACATTTTATAGCAGAGTTATGTGGAAAGTAGATATCAGATGATTGTGATGTGCAATAGACAAGAATTAATACAAAAAGAATATATTAAATTATAATACACTTTGTGTACAAACTTTTCGAAATTAATTGCTGTGGACTTGAGTCAGAAGTTTTCTGCTAATTGATTGATTCAGTTACTGAAACTTTCTAGTTAAATAATTTTATCAGGTGCGCACCCAAAGCTTTATATTTTGCTATTTTATTAAAATATGAAAGCAAAATTGTTTAAATACCTTAAACATACATTATGCAAGAGCTAAATCTGCCTATTGCAAGTCTTTATTTAGGCTTCAGATGTTATAGAAATTATTAATTAGACCTTTATTTACACGACAAGCTCAAAATCAACTCTGTAGACCCATGGATGGCTTGGATACAGTTTGGATTTAAACAGTCGTCCATTTAAAATTATATCAATAAATGGCGGACCAAGCTAACATTTACTGTTAGTCGCTGATGTCACTACCGGAAACTGGTGATGAAAGGCCTGTCAAGCGAGGCTACCATAGCCATTGAGCATGTTACTTGATAATCGAGAATATGTGGGTGGAGTTATTGTCTGTTAATCAAACGATCGCCAATTCTCATAGACGGTGCAGACACAATTGATGCCTATTTCTAGTTCAAACTTCCAACAGTGACAATTCAGTTCAGAACAAAATAATTTTGACTGAAATTTTCAACATATTCTTTTTTTATCATCTATTTTTGAATTATTATGGCAAGAATGGCCAACTCTTTATAAAACTCTTAACTAATGTATCTTTTATGGAGTTACACCTCCTTAAATTTCATCAGCAATTTAATTTTATTTTATTCATAGATAATTGTGTTAATTCTGTTTGTTGAATAGATATCCCAGAATCATGATAAACACACACTTGTCATTACCAAAACAACCAAAGATGATGCAGGAAAATATGTATGTCGACTTGACAACCAAATGGTATCGATTGTGCATTCTACATCTTTAATTGTTCAAGAAAAGTCACCAGTTACAACCGATTTTAGATCTGTTCTAAAGAAAAGGTGAGTAAGTGAATTTATGGTTTATCTAACAAAGAAAAACCCAGAAAACCATGGCAATACATTTCTTGTAAACTTAAAACGTGTCTTATTCTATTCAATATAGTTTTTGGTAAAACACAATTCTCTGCTATGTCATTGTAACAACTGATATATTAATGATATATTTTGTAGTACTTTCTTTAAAAACTGTTGTAGGTCATCTTTAGGAAATATTGGAAAGCAAAGTAGCACGGATTCAGAGAAATCGGACAAAGAAAATGACCGAAGAGTATTCCACACTATTTTAAACCGGATGGATGATAGTTCACTAAATATTAAAAAGATAGCCAAAGAAAGCCATTCTGCTCTAAGAAATAGGTTTGAAGAAAACTCAACCAAAGACTCCAGAGTGGCACCTGTTTCCAATTCATTCAAATCAGTACAAAATGGTAGTAATGCTCCACGTGCAACAGCAGAAGTAAAACCATTTCTATCAAATGTTTTGGCACAAACCAAAAATAGCTTTCAATCAAAGATGGACACTTTCCAGAAAAATACTAAAGATTCAGAAGCTAAGATATCAGAAACCAACAAGTTAGTTGTGCGGCCATTACCACGTGCATTGGATGTAAAATTAAAAAATGAATCTAATGTTGAGAAATTCAGTGTTTTAAAAACTAATGGAACCACTTCTGGCTTTTTAGAACTGAAGAAAGAATCATCAGTGAAACCTAGACAATTAGCAAAACAAATTGAAATAGATAAACAATGGGAATTAAAAACATCTAAACCACAACAAATAGACTTTAGAAATGTTTTAAAATCAAAAGACCATGACAAAAAATTTAACCAGCCAACAAATGGTTTAACATCCTTAGAGAAGGATAAGAAATCAACCGAAATTCATAATTATAGAAGTGTTTTAACTTCAAGAGACACAGTTAAGAAATCAGCAGAAATGAAAGATGATTTTAAAAAGTCTACTGAAATACATGACTTTAGAAAGGTGCTAATAACAAAAGACCCATCTCCGAAAGAGAGTGTGGAAACTAAAGTGAAAACTAATTATTCAGTGCAGCATGACTTTAGAGGTGTTTTATCAAATAAGACTGAGAAACCACAATTTGTGCAGAATTTGTCTGATAAGCGGGTAAAATATGGTGGTGAGGCAGTATTAGCATGTAAAATAGAAGGAATACCAGCACCAGAAATAAAATGGCAAATTAATGAAAAAGAAATCAAAGTAAGTAGCCTACATGTAGTTTGTATTTCCTGCATATGTTTACCATATTATTGTCATTATATTGTCCTCATCAATTTGTTGTCAATTCATGGCTAGAGTTCTGTATAAATTTGCAATCAATATCTCTGTCCTTCATTAATTTATCCATCTTTAGTGGGATTGTGTCGTTTGTTTCGGCTTTTTTTGGAGGCGGGGGGCGGGGGAGTGAGCTGTATTTAAGAAGGAGTTTAAAAAACCTTTGCTGATCCAGGGGACAATGGCTGATCTTTTTAAAGTGCATCTACAATCTACATTAAGCTTCATCTGAGTTTAAATTGTCTTTTGTAACTTGTTGTTCTCAACCTATTAGGACACTAGAAGAAATTCATATTCGGCTGTCATTCTTTTCTTTGTCAGAATTTATTTGGTGTTTTCACCCATTGGTAAGAAATGTTACGTCACTTATGATAAGTGGACTATATTGCACAAATGTAAATGATTTTTGTGAAATGGAAATAAGAATGTTACAGACTATATTAATGTCCCATTTAAAAAACTGCATTTTGTAGTTCACTTTGCTGTTTTTTTGTTTTATGCAAAAAGTCACAATAAAAAGTAAAAAACACTTTGGATTTCATACCCAGCCCTCCTAGTCTGGATAGTATTGTGTTCAGCTAACGTAGTACAGATATTGAATATCTACTAATTTCCAAGACCTTGAAAATTACTGAAATAATAAATAATTAAAATAAAAATTTATTTCAGCAGGAAAATAGAAATAATGTTCCATGCATTAATGAAAAAGACAAAAAGTCGTTGGTCTCATTCTTTCATATTTATTCATGTCATTTTCAATATATTTATTATGTATTTGTAGCCATCACGGTATTTCCAGTTGAAATTTGAGCATAGTGTAGCAAGTCTAACTATTAGTGAAGCTTTGTCAGAAGATGAAGGAGAATATGTTGTTACATATTCATTACACATTACATATGTTGTCATTTTCAATATATTTATTATGTATTTGTAGCCATCACGGTATTTCCAGTTGAAATTTGAGCATAGTGTAGCAAGTCTAACTATTAGTGAAGCTTTCTCAGAAGATGAAGGAGAATATGTTGTTACAGCAAGCAACACAGCTGGTATATCCCAAAGTACTTGTCAACTTACAATAGATGGTAAGCATTGTACATCCTGTTATTGTAAAATCAAAATATTTATCATGAGATACAAACTAAAAGTGATGAACTTAGAGTTTCTTCATCATACAGACAAAACTCACTGTCTAGAAATGGAGATCATATCCCCAACCAACTCCCAAAAGACCTGTGTAATCATATTTTCTCTATTTCCATTATCCCTCGTCGAACGAAGTTAGGGAGTGATATTGAAATGGGCTCTGTCCGTCCCAGTTTCGTTTCTGGAGTATATCTCATAAACCGTTCAAGAAACTTTGTACTCACTGCATCCTATAAAAATAGTTGTGCCTTTTACTATTTAGGAATTTCTACGATTTATATTGATTGTGTTTCCATGGAAACAAATTTGACATAGTTTTTGGTGTTCAATTTTTGTTTCCGGAGCATATATCATAAACCATTCATGATATCTGCATGAAACTTTGTACAAACATTAACCTTTTATATAAGTTATGCATTTTGCTAATTTGGAATTTAATAATTTTTGTGTTTCCATGGAAACAAATTTGACTTAATTTCAATTTTTGTTTCCGAAGCATATCTCATAAACCATTCAAGATATCTTTATGAAACTTTGTACAAACATTAACCTATTAAAGTAGATGTGCCTTTTACTAACTTGTTGTGCAAACCTTACAGGGAATAGCGACAGTGCCTTGCCAAGCTACTGTGATCAGAGTATGAATCTTCTGATTAGTCCCATTGATATTCCAGAAGTTGTTTTTCCCTATGCCTTCCAAACATGTGCAAGGGCACGGGATGGTGTTGACTAGTCATCTTGTTATTTTTGCTTTCAGAATCAAGTTCACGCTCATCAAGATCTGACAGTCGTTCAATAGAAGGAGCTGTATCCTTTCCGGCTAAAATACTCACTGTTACACCAGTTAATGTTTCTGCTACAAAGGGTAAATCTACAGAAATAAAGGCAGCATTTACTGGAGAACCACCACCATCAATCAAATGGTATAAATATAAACATGAACTGGAATCAGGTAAAGCACTAGAATATTCAAATGTTGGAATTATAAGATTTGATTTAACACCGTTGACAATCCCATCCTTGCTTTATTCAATAACCAGGGCAAATTTGATGAGATGTTGAGTAGTATCTTATCATGTACTGGTGCATACTTTCAAGCAGTGGGGTATCATGTTTATGGCAGGTACTGTCAGTAAGACCATTCTCCTGCATAAAAGGGGGTAGTCAAGAAACTGAAAATAATGACTTTAAATACCACATATACCAAATTGCATCAGTGAAACAAGGAAGGTGCAATTATAATTTTTATGTGGTGCCATAATTCGTTAGTTAAAAGATTAACTAAATTGAATTGTATTTTTGAACTGATTTTATGGTAAAGAGTTATCTTAATGGATGTCAGATGTTTAGACACTAGGGGCGCAATTCCAGTGCTTGCCATAGGAACTTTTTTCAGCAGATACACCACTGCTTTCAAGCCCTTTCCCATTGTTTTTTTAAAGGTTAAGTCAGTAAGGTGAAATGGAAATCGCAAAATTGAATTGTGATATTTGTGGTCATACTTTATGAAACATAAACTATATGTAGAATAATCACAAGATTTCTTATAATTGCTTATATTATGTGCAATTTATTAAATGAATCATTTAAATTTTTGTAGATGGACGAATCCATATAAAAACATTGACAAACTCTAGTGTCCTATCCATCAATAATTTACAACAAGCAGATGTTGGTAAATACAGTATTGCAGCTGAAAATGAATTGGGGTGTGATAGTGCAACCATATCTATCAGTGTTCAAGGTATATATCATTGTAGATTTTGATTGAATATAGGAGTATGCTAGGAGTAGGAGTGACATGTCATCTTTGCCATAAAGTGGAAGTCAACCAATTCTTGTGTTCAAGAACATTATGTTTTGCCATTGACTGCAGACAGGAGTTCTTTGAATTTTTTAATTATTACTCTCCAGAAATGGCCAGGTGTTCAATATTTTTGTTGACACACAGATGATAAACTTAGTTGTCTAGAATTAGGCACATGAGCAATGGCTTGGTTAATACTTTGAAGTGAACTCCTGGTGTATGAAGATGGAACCTGTCTCAAAATGTTCGGTTTGTTTTGTTTGGTACACAATATTTGGTACACAATATTTGATATCATTTGTAATGATGTCCCATCCTTTTAATTTGACAGAGATACCTTATTGTCCCATGGGTCGACCGTATGTGAGCGATGTTACAAAATCATCTGTATCTTTAACATGGTATGGTCCAGCATATGATGGTGGAAGTCCAATAACAGCTTATTGTGTTGAGTTATGTAAAGGAAATTCCAGAAAATGGCAGACTGTAACCAATAGTTGCAGGGTAAGTACATATGTAGAATTCTGTTCACTGCCAATAAGAATCTTAGGATATAGATATCACAGTTTGTGACTAAAGTTGGTGTGTGTGGGGGGGGGGGGAATTGTCTAATGTGTGCTCTTTAGATTATAAGGTCTAGTAATGAGTCAAATAAAGTGCTTTCGATCCCAAGCTTATACAGGAATAGGTCTGCTTGCTTAACCTTGTCAGTTTCTCCCCACAGCAATGCTAAAGACCTCTAGGCACAAGAGAATTATTGAAGTAAAATTACACCTAGTATTAGTTTCAAAATCACCTAGTTTGTGTGTAGTGGACATTAAAACTCTCTCTCTCTCTCTCTCTCTCTCTCTCTCTCTCTCTCTCTTTCTCTATCTCTCTCTTATGACTCAATAAATGTTTCTGAGATGAATGTGTAGGGGATGGGGAATAATGCTAATTCTTATTTGTGGCCATGTCAGGCATTTTAAATACAGATATTTCATGTTCTCATACTGAAACAGATAACTTGACTTTACATCTGGACATACGATGCTTAAAGAAATTTTTTACAGTTTGTTTCAGTTTATTAGATATCTTGTCCTTGATTTTACAGAATACATTTTATCAAGTGGACACACTAGAAGCTAATACACAGTATGTGTTCCAGGTTCGTGCTGCCAATAAACATGGTATCAGTGAACCTGGAGAACAATCAGAACTAATTTTAACATTTGATAATCAGGAGTCAGATTATGAATCAGATGGTAAGAAATATTTAGTAATAGTAACCATGGTTTTACTTCAAACTCTCTTAGTTATTGTAGAATTTTTTCTAGATCACTTTATTAGTTCAAATCTAGCACTTTAATTTTTTAGTTTCATGTTAGTGGTTAGAAATCCTTTGCATGTTGAATAAGTTAACCACTTTGGTACAAGAAGCTTTAGAGTTGTAGTATAAGCCTCTTCAGATTTAAGCTTTTCAGCATTTGATAGACACAATTTATGCATTGTTTTTTTTTTCTTTCAAATACACAGTTTGCTATAAACTGCATGTTGCTATACCAGCTGCAGTTATCAGCTCCTATGCTTCTTAATCGGAATAGTAGCTTATGGTAAAAGTAAATATACAGATAATGAAATAAATCCCATGAAACTAATTATCTTGGCAATAGACTATTTTGATTTACTTCCCAAAAATAAATTTTGCTGGAAAACAGTTTTTAGTACCCGTATTCTTGTTGACAAAATTTGAGATAAATTTTGGATAAAATTAATTAGTCTTTTATGTATTTTAGAAAAACATTGTGTATAAAAACAACCTAAATCACAATGTATAAAACTAATTTACATTTTGAGAGTTATAGCTGGTTCTGGGGAATATTCAGTAGGGTGACTCTGTCTCATTTTGTTCATTTAGACTATGGATACAAATTCTTAAAGACATTTTTGAATGAATCCCTGAATCTTATCAATATTTATTATTTTGTTTCTTTTTCTTACTAATACACACATTTCCTTTAGATTTATCATTAGAAATGCTTTAATCGCTATTTTTGCTATGGGCTGTTACTTACAGGATACTCAGAAGTATTTTCTCCCGGTCCTGTTTCCATTACAGAAGGTAAAATATCCACTAGACAACCATATTTTTTTCTATGAACGTACAATTATGACAATTAAAATCAAATTTCAGTGTTGTTTAATGTTTACGTCAATAAGAAACACAAGCAATAAACAAGAGCATTCCCTTAGAAAAGTCCTGTTACAAACTGGTTAATATGGAATAATACTTCTGTTGCATTGATATTTAGCATGTATACAATATGCTTTTAAGATGAATGTCGAATAACACAATAAATTAAAACTCTTAACAGATGTGGCTAATATGCACATAAAATACACCTTTGTCTTAGTTTGCTGTCTCCTGTTGCACATCAGCTATATGTTTACCACAATTATACCAGGTAATAACTTGTGTAAACCTGGCTTTTCATTTATTCAAGTTTTATTTTATTTAATAGATGAGCTTCCTTTTGAACCAAGGATTGTGACAATTGATATAAACAGGAAATTTGAAGATTATTTTGAGACCCTGGAAGAAATTGGCAGGTACGTTAATGGGTAGAAGTTGAGAGTATTAATAGGGTATCTTTGTTGACATAATTTTAGATACAGATACATATGTGTTATTTATTTCAATATATTTTATATATCATTTTCAGAGGTAAATTTGGTAATGTATATAAATGCAAAGACAAAAAGACCAATGAAATCTGGGCAGCTAAAATTTTAAAATGTCGAGATAAAGAGAAACCTAATATAAGGAATGAGATTGATGTCATGAATAAACTAATTCATCCAAAAGTGTTAATGCTGTGGGATGCCTTTGAAGCTCCACGTACAATGGTGCTGGTGATGGAATAGTAAGTAGTACCAGACTACAAGAGATTTTGATATTTATTATGCAGCCTGTTATGATTAGAATATTTTATTTCATATTAATATTAGAATGTGGAATATTATTCAGTTAAATCCTTACACACAGATTTGTTCCAATTAATGAGCATTTATGAATAATGTAAATACTGAAATCTCACAATAAACAATTCATCATGAAATGCATAGGTGTAAGGCAGGGATCTTTTATGATTTCTTTCTGTCAATTTGCTGGTATTTTGCTAAAGTTTTGCTTATTTTAGCTTGAATATAGGTTTTTAATGTACAATCCAATTGGCAAACAGACAGTACTATACACTAAAGTACTCTTTTTTTATTAAGAAATTAATTACCTTGAATGAAATGTATTTCTTTACCAATTATTGCCAAAGTGGTAATTATTAATTTAGTTCTATTTTTGTGATGTCCTTTATTTGAAAATCAACACATTTAAATTTACAATTTCAGTATCCGAGGAGGAGAATTATTTGAAAGAGTCATCAGCGATGATTTTGAGCTAACAGAAAGAGATGTTATTCATTTTATGCGCCAGATTTGCGATGGTGTTGGATATATGCATAAAGAAAGTATTATTCATTTGGACTTAAAACCAGAAAATATTTTGTGTATATCAAATAGCACTAATCAAATTAAAATCATTGACTTTGGACTAGCTCAACACTTTAAACCTGGACAGAGTGTCAAGGTTTTGTTTGGAACACCAGAGTTTATTGCTCCGGAAGTAGTGAATTATGATGAAATTAGTTTTTCAACGGACATGTGGAGTGTTGGTGTTATCTGTTATGTTCTGTAAGTCTTAAAATACTTGACATTAACTCCCACTAATTTTATATGGATATATAATGCATATGACATTCCTCAATAAATTACTGCTATTTTTGGCATGGTTAATTTCAGCTCAGGTATCATGTGGGTCGAAAGGTTAATCTAGAAAGCACATTAGAATTAGTTATTGTCCAATAAGATATAGGAATGGATAATCAAATAGGAAATTTGGCTGGGTTTGCTCAGATTACTAGACAATTCCATAGAAGCTATTATGCTAAACCTTTTAATTTCTTTTCTTTTATTAGTATTTGTTTTCTGGTTTATATTTTCTCTTAATTCAATTCTTTGTTTTCCCATTACAGACTCTCTGGATTGTCACCATTTTCAGGTGACACAGAACATGAAACATTGTCGAATGTAACTTTAGGAGAATTTGACTTTGACGACGATGCTTTTACCGACATCTCAGACAACGCCAAAGATTTTATACAGAATTTATTAATCAAAAATAAATCGTAAGAATAGCTTTTGATTTTTTTCTGTATTATACATGGACTGTAGAAAGAGCTTCAGGTGTGGCAGCACCCAGTTGTTATTTTTATTAATAAAAAAGTTTATTTCTTGTTAATTTTAACTTTCATTACTCTGATATTACACTTTCCAAAATATAAAACTAGATTAATTTAATATTGTCAAATTGCGGACAATTTTGTTTTATAGTTATTTCCTGTAACCAGGAGACAATATTTATGTGTGGTAATTAATGGGACTTTTTATTTTTTTTATTTTTTAATATAACAAGAGGTCCTTCAGCCCTATTTAAGTGTTTTATAGAAAGGATTCTTTCTTTACAGAAAACGTTTCACCATTGACCAGTGTAAGAGTCATCCTTGGTTGGCTCAAGATGAAAAAAGAATAAGGTGTAAACGGTTAAATACCGAAAAATTAAAACATTTCATGGCCAGGAGAAAATGGCAGGTAAAGATCAGATAAAGATATTTTGATGATAGCATTTTTTTGATAATTTAAAAAAAAATTAGGCATTTGAATTGATCAATAATACATAAAGACTTGAGTGAGCAAAAATATATAAAGTAAATGATTAATTTTAAAATAAAACATTTATGATTTTCATAAAATTTTGAAGGGCTTTTTGCATGCTTTTATTTCTTATGATTTGTTGGGTTATTTGGTTGTTTTTTTTTATTTCTGTTATATTAAGCACTTTATTAGGATCCTGAAATTATGCATAGGTAGCTCTTGGAATGTATTTTAAAGATACACTTACTCAATGCCTGTAATAAAATTTTTATCACTGCATGTCAAACTGATTAGAAACGTTTGATGAATGTTGTTTAGCAATAAATAAAGCATGGGTTTGATAGGAGGGTAATTCCCTTCAGTACCAGCGAAGTTGGCAATTTAAGGCTTGATAAAAATTACATTGGGGAGAATATATCACAGGCTTAGTTCTACAAGCATGGTGCATGTTCACATACAAAAAACCCCAATTATAGTATAATTTATACATACAAAGTTGTTAAGATTTTTTTTTTGAAATTTAGATTTGGAAAACAAGTATTATATATTACTGTGATTATTTTACAACAAATTAAACATGTATCAAAAAAGCTCCATTATAGAGACAGGCAACAAGATCTTTGGATCCAGTTGATTTCTTTTTGGCAAAGTTTGAATACCTGTAATTATGTAATATATTTAATTGGTTTTAGTTAATTGCATGAATTGATGGGTTATGTTCTGTTTATTTTATTTCACTATTTTTTTTTTGCTTTGTTTGCATGCTGCTTTAATTTTTAATTTCTCTAGAAAACTGGAATGGCTATTCGTGCTCTCGGACGCATGGCTACGCTGCAACGTATGCTCAGCAACGATAGCATCAAAAGTCTCGATTCAGGAGTAACCCAATATTCTTCTTCCAAACAGACGTCAATATCATCCCCATTATCCAACGACGAGGAAGTTAGCTTCACGTATGATGATCTACACAAGTCATCCCCTAACAGCCAGACACCACCAACAAATGTCCAATCCACGCCATTGACAACGGAACCAATGATAATAAAGGCGATTCCTAGATTTAGTCTTGAGACAAAACTTATGGAATCTCAAACATGTAGCCCGGAGAAGAAAAGTACGCTAACTAATAACAATAACAGTATTTATAAGGATAATACTCGTGCAATAGAAAATCACTGTGATAATCCGGACAATGATGGATCCTTTGGTTTCCGTGTGAACAACGTATCATTAAGACGTGAACAAAGTGACTATTCTTCCAGTGCTACTCCTATTATTTCCAAAAGGGAGACTGCATCATTACAGAAAAACTTTGAAAAATTAGACTTAAACAAATCAGACTCCACTCTTAAACCAAGTTTTGTGAAAGAAATGGTGGATTGTGAAGCGTTTACTGGGGATGTTATTCGCTTTGACGTCGTTGTTTCAAAAGACACTACTATTCACTGGTATTACGAAGATGAAAAAATAATAGAAGATTCGAGGCATATTATCGATTTCGGCGAGAATGGACGATGTTCATTAATTATTCGTCAAGTTACGGAGGACGATGAAGGCGAATATACTTGTGCAGCTTTAAACAAAAATGGCGAAACTACATGCTCGGCAGAGCTAATAGTATGCGGTTCAGGCGCCTTTTGAAAAAAAAAAGTATTCACTCCTACGTCTTCCTTTTAACTTCACACAAACGAATACACCCAAATCAGTTCTTTTTTTTTTACAAGAATTTGACATTTCTTTTTTTAAAAAATATGCAATAATCAATGTGGTGCTTAATGTAAATCCCCGCCTTCAGAGTAAACCATAATCAATTCAATAGAACTAGTAGCATAAATATCGTAATATGTGTATGTTATATTGTATTTAGTAAACGCTTAGAAGACCGTAAAGTAACAAAGAAATTGTACAGTGTAATGTTTTTTGTGCGTTTCTAAATTGCCTAAGTTTTTGTTTGGATACAACTTGGTCATTCAATTCAAAGATTTAGCCCCCTGATCATAATACTTTAGAAAAACAACGAATGACTGCTTGTATTCATTCATCTTTCGTATGAAACCTTTCGACCCTCAAAACTTATCTTTAACCTTGGCAGGCAGTTCAGAAATAGCACCATAAAATTTTTTTTTTATATTATTATATTGTACATAGATAAAAACAAACTATATGCTCAGTTGATATGTTCGTATGTATATTGAATAATTTGTGTATTTATTGTAAAAGAGATGGGCATATAGTGTAAAAGTTTATTTTTTATTCTTATTTGAATTTGTCTCTATTCAATGTAAAGCAACATAGTCAGGAAGAAGATAACTTACATGTTCTTACTTACACTGTACTATTTCGGTCATAATTTAAATAAAAACCTTCCCTACCCTTATATCGTTTGGCTTCATTATATTCTGGCTGGTTTAACTCCTTGATTTGGGGGACAAAACTGTTCAATTAAGTTTATCTTTATTCGAAGTCAATCTAATTTAATTTCGTTTCTGGCATACATAGTTGACTGCTGGCTGTAAGCAGAACAGGCACTATTTCACAATAGCTTAATCCAAATATGTAAATGTTGAGACTTACCAAGTTAGCAAAGTATAAAACAACTTATAATTGGCCCATTGTATGCACGTCATCCCCTGGACATTACTATGTGCCGCGCCATGACGGCAGTGGCGTGACCTACAAGGAAGGATGTGTCTGTGTGTGTGTGTGGGGGGGGGGGGGAGTTTCTGAAGGCAAACATGGTTAGTACTATTGCTGAATCTCAGACAGTTTCAGCTAATATACTTGAAGCTACCCCACTCCAGTAACTTTAGAATAACCCAACCACAAGAAAGCAAGTTATTCCAAATTTAGAATTGACCCCAATAGGAGCTTAAGTTATTTTAAGGCTTTTTACTCATTCCTCAATTTTTAGAGAGTGTCTTTGCTTGGGGTTTATCTTCTACCGTCATTATCGATGACCGGTTTGTGACAGCAGCCATGCAGTGGCGTGCAGAGAGGGCGACAGTACCTGGTACCCATTTCAAGTTGGTGTGGGGGGGGGGGGGCATCCGATCAAAGGGTGAAATTAATTTGGATGATACTTAATTTGAATAAAAAGTTTATTTCATCCATTTTGACACATTTAAAAAATAAAAAGTCTTCCTTTCTCACATTTCTCACAGTCCTTGGCCCTATATATGTACTTAAAGTAGCTAAGTCTCTAACTCAATATCATCGACATTGAAAACAGGATTTATTTGTCGATTTAAATCAACATTGATGTTGTGATCTTACCGGGAAAAGATGGCCTTCTGATATCCAATATTTAAGACAAAATAAACATTTTACAATTGGTACACGAATCGTGTACCATAATAGAGACTTTTGGCAAGCGTAAATTCCTGGTCCGTATTGCGTATCCGTAACGATTTTGCATGTGACGTCATCAATGCGTGTGTATTTCTCATACGTGATACGGCACACGGATACGGCAGCTCGTATCGAACAGTTTTTATACGGAAAAGGTCCGTATAACGTCGTCGTCTTTTTATCGTATTTTTTGCTATTTTTAGACGATGGCAAAAAATTGGAATTTACTTTTGATGAGCTTTTCGCGGAATTTTCATATTTTTCATGTCTGTCTGCACGCTTGTTGATCTACGTGCTAAATTTAGGGACTGTCGAACGACTTCACTCCCTTTAAGAATTTGTAGGCTACGTACTTGACTAGTACGGATGTTGATCTTGGTAGATAACTTCCATCATGCTGTAATAGAACTACCCTCACATCAGCTACCTATACGTAGACGGCGTGAAAATCTGCCAAAACTCTAATACTAAATTAACGCAACCTATCACGTGACGATACGGATACGTTATACGGATGGGGAAAATTCCACTTGCCAAAAGTCTCTAATGCGTTTCAGCGCTATTTGTAATAAGGGACTCGAAAAACGAGGCTAGGCATATTCCACAAATCATGTCAAACGGTGACGCTATATTCTTATCTGGAGAGTATGCCCAATAAATACTATCGGTGTAGACTTGAATAACCAGAAGCTAGTGATTGAAATTCGATTGAGAATACTGGCGTATTTCGCCGAACCTAACTGATTAGAAATTACAGTAAAAACAGAAACGATTGAATGTAAATCAATTTATATACATTCATATAACATTATTGTATGCGTTGCGACCCATTTGTGTCAATTTCTAGGTCCCAAATATTAGCGACTTAGCTCCTTTAAGTACTGAGGGCATTTAATCATGGAGTCGGCCTCGGGCATCATTAAACCAGGATACTGCTGCCATGTAAAGCTGAGAATGCTTTTCTAAACAACTATGCATTATACAGTTTAGAATACCCCCCCAACCAACCATACATTACAACCTCAAAAATATCCTTTGCCCGAAAATAATACACAACCTAAAGATATATATAATTGACTCCCAAAATCAAATGGCATTTATGTGCACACATGAACTTCGTATCGTCCAGGATTGGTGTGAAAAGCCTTCCTACTCTATTGCTCAGTAGTCATGCCAGTTTACGTGCGGGTAAAATATATAAGCTGGGCAGTTGTTCTTTTATATGTAAACAAGTGGGCAAAAAGTTCCTTTTCACTATCCAAACACTAAACAATCCTAAATGCCTGCCAGTAGTGCTCCTTAGGCTTGGAACAGCGGAATTCGAACCCAAAACAGTCAAGTTCCTGAACCACAATGTCTTATTTTTCCTTTTTCGTGATTGAAGAAGACATGCACACGTTGTTCTCTAACTTTGACGAATTATCACTATACATCGGCCTATAGCGCAATTGAATGATTCGTTACATGTTATAGTCATAAAATATATAAGCATAAAAAACAACTAAAATACTTATGGATGATTTTAATCATAATATTTTGAATTATAAGAAAAAAAACATGGACAAAAGACATACGTGTATTAATATTTTGAGCAGTTGTTCTATAGAAACACTGGTAGAATAAAAGACGATACATGTATTATAATATAGACCGATATACACTGTGTCTACATCTAATATACTTTTAACTATATATACACATGAACATTTCTTAATTTAACAATTATTGATAAAATGGTTTCGTTATAGAATGATTATTACTTTAAAATAAATTTTATAGTATCCCTTTGAAGTACTTAAAGCTGTTATGTTAAAGTACCCAAGTCTCTAACTCAATATCATCCAAAGTCTTTGACATTGGAAACACGAATTATTTGTGAATCAAAATCTACATTGATGTTGTGATCTTACCGGGAAAAGATAGTCTTCTGATATCCACTATTTTATGACAAATTAAACATTTTACCATTGGTACACGAATCGTGTACCATAATGCGTTTCAGCGCCATTAGTAACAAGGGACTTAAAGAACGAGACTAGACATATTCCACAAGTCATGTCAAACGGTGACGCCATATTCTTATCTGGAGAGCATGCACTATAAATACTATCGGTGTAGACTGGAATAACCAGACGCTAGAAATTGACATTCAATTGAGACTTCTGTCGTATTTCGCCGAACATACCTGATTAGAAATTACAGTATAGACAGAAAGGATTGAATGTAAATCAGTTTATGTACATTATCATATGCATTGCGACCCATTTGTGTCAATTTCTAGGTCCGAAATATTAGCGATTTAGCTCCTTTAAACCAAAACACAACATTATTACCTTGGGTATAATGGCTGACATTGTTTGGAAGCTGTTCCGATACTGAAAAGTACCACTCATCAATATACAATCAGCTTATTCTGATATATTCACATTCCTTATGCTGATGTTATTGATGAATTCGACAAAATCGATCTGCCACATAAAAATGCCATAATCAAAAGATTGTAACGATAGCGGATACAACCATAACATTATTAAAATGCAAACAGACATTGAATTCGAGTTGGTAAATGAATATACCTATTTGAACAATTTCGACATTTGTCAAGAGCCAAGCAGTCCTTATAAAACGAGCATGATTTGTCATGCCCGTTAAGCTGAGAAACATACCCCATAAACTGCACAGTCGGTAACCCCCGTTGCATTGTTCCGTTCTACTCCACTAACAACTGGGTTTATTCACGAAAATCAAATTATCTGCCTTTGATGATTTCATTGGCCACGTAGGTTGTTTCTACGAACCAATAAAACCCCCCAGAGAACATACCAGTCTTAGCATCATAGTTTATGTTCACCACAATACAGCAGAATATGCGTTGGATTATGAGAACGTATGCAAGAAGTTTAATGTCAAAGAAGTGACATGCACACAAAAAATGTCGGCGATCTTAGTTTCAACAAAATGCGAGTTACTTCCCTTCGCCTACTCACTTTCTATTTTGGATTGGCCGATAAAAATAGCACAGTTATCAAGGGCGGATAATTTGACTACGTATCTCACCCGTGAATGGACCCAGGGATTGGTGGAGTAGAATACCGAGGATGTATAACCTGGTGATGGGTAGAAATGAAAATCTACTATGGTAAACTTGGGAGTCAATGATGTTAGTCAAATTATAGACGGCACTCTAATCTCCAAGTTATCAGGATAAATAAAGTCTAACTATTCACCTATTTGTAATAATTTAGTGACGAAACGTCACCAAGATGGTTTTCGTTTGCATTATTCTGTGGATACATTCTGAATACAGAAGAATTCATAAGTAAATTTGTAAGAAAAGGAGAACAATTTTTCACATAAAGATAAAGATTCAACAATTTCGTTCAAAATGAGGACTGTTTAATATTACCTCATTGTTTCACAACATGGTTCGCCTGCATCACCCTTTTCTAATTATAAATGTGTTAAGCAGTTTTAACTGCTTAAAAGTATATTTTATCAACATCCTTAAACACAAGTATATTTCTTAATATAACAAACTATTCAATACAAGAACTTGTATTTTAACATACGATTATATTATGAGCTTTTACCTGCAGACGGAATACTGTTGCATATTTATTGCTTCAAATGTTTTTAAATATTCCATCTCTAACTTAGAGCTGGTAAACATTAAACAGTTGTTTGGAATACAAAACTATGATAAAGTTCCTTTAAAGATAGACCTCAGCAAAGAAATATCATTTTTGTCATAAAGATTATTTCAATAAATACAAAGATTATGTAACAATTATATAACACGAACATACATATACATGATTTCACTAAATGGCTCTATTCTGCTCCAATAAATGAGGATTCTCCCCTTCATTTACATATATTTGACCAAAGAAGGTAGCCAGTGTTGTGAAAATTATACAACATCACATACGCATCCTAGTTGAGATGTTGTGACGGATATAGAAATTATTTTAATTTTCGGATCCATTTAATTTAAATGAAATTTACAAAACAGAACATTTGTTTCAATACCATATAAAGACAACACCAAAGAGCAGAACTAACGATGTTATTTATGTAGCTCGACTACAATGAGAACATTTTCCTGAATATTTGTTCTTAACATCATGGTCCGGGATTAATGATAGTGTATTTCTGATAGAATAGCTGGAAATGAGGGATGGTATATCGTTTAGGCCATTAGGTGTGTAAATTGGGGTTGTACAAATACAGCACAGTTGGTGTTGTTGGCTGATTTCAGTCACTTGAGGGTTATGTCATAAAACAAATCAATAAGATAGACAGATTTGATTCTTGTGGGGTGCACCATGATCGGTTGGCACTCGGGCACTGTTTCTTCGTGGCGGGCTCGGCTAGCTCGGTTGTTGAGATTTCAGATACTTTCATTTTCAACGCATGGGTGTCTTTCATTCTAATTCACGACCATGTCCTCTGTCGACGTTCGTCCACATCTGAAATAATCTATGCTTCCGACCAATTCCCGACTTCCTTTTTGGCCAATCGGCCTCATGGTAACACCGATGCCATTTTTGCCAATGTAGAAAGGAAGTAGTATAAGATGTTACATATCTCCAGAAGGTTGTGGTTTCATCTTTTTATTACGCGAGCTCTTTTTAATTCACTCTGTAAACAATAAACGATTAGTAATTAAATCAACGAAAATTAAATTATGAAAACATCATACCATACATTATACATGTACCTACTTATGAGCTATAAAGGGGTTCTCAGTTCTAACCAAACATGATTTTTTTTTACCTCATTATTATAAAAAGGTAGTAGGATTATGGTCGTGATTAACAGACATTAAGATTCACACAACCATATCCCAAAATAGTTTGCACAGATGTGAACATAATCGCAATCTCTTAGGGTATACCCGGAATATTCGTCCCTTCTTTCTATCAAAGCCTCGTTAATTTTGGTCAAGAAAGTAGTGTTATTGGATTCAACAGTCGACACATAGAGCCATAAATCTGAAATTCTAAAACGACACATTACCGTTTACCCCACCGAAATACCAAAATCACCGTTTGGTGATTGCCTTATCACAGATGAAGGTAATCCAATTATTTTAAACTATAAAAAGTCAGCCCTGCTCCAACAATCGTTGGGGAAATTTGTATTTGAATATTTCCAATAAACGACAGACGTGTACATGCGCTGTGTAGCGGAATAATATCCAATATGTTAATTCTAAGGAAACATACTATAGCTTTAAGGACAAACACATTGTCACCTGCTAAAATGTCGATCTCATAGCGTAAACGAGATGGTCAGCTATTTCTATATCTATAGATAGATAATATTCGCTGGAATCAACTTTTAAAAACCCTTTAGGCACCCTCGTTCATACCCAACATTAAATTACAGACTGTATGGACAAGAACTAGCACCGGGATTCCCACCCTATTTAGGCCCCACATTCCTAAGAAATTTTTAATCAATGTTATCACCCTATAGCAAAAAAGAAACACCACATTTGAAGAAGAAGAAATCTAATCTTATAATTTTCGAATCACGTACATCAATGCGCATGAACATATTGAACTTAATAACCGTTCGAATATTATTTTACGATATTATCTGGTTCCTTCCCCTAATAGTAATTATTTACACACGTGTTCTTGTGTAAATAGAGACTTTTGGCAAGCGTAAATTCCTGCTGGTCCGTATTGCGTATCCGTAACGATTTTGCGTGTGACGTCATCAATGCGTGTGTATTTCTCATATGTGATACGGCACACGGATAAGACAGAACGTATCGAACAGTTTTCATACGGAAAAGGTCCGTATAACATCGTCGTCTTTTTATCGTATTTTTTGCTACTTTTAGACGCTGAAATGTTGTGCCGTAGCGTTTTTATACGCCCACATTTTCATGTGGACGTATATTGTTGTCGCCCCTGTCCGTCCGTCCGTCCGTCCACAATTGTTAGTGAACAGTCTACAGGTCACAATTTTTATCTGATTTAAATGAAACTTGAAATATAGGTTTATCACCCTAAGATCTCGGTTCCTTTCGATATTGGCATGTATCGGACTGTAACATCATGGAATATGGCCCCTGATTGTACGAAAAATCACGTTTTTAGCTTGTGAACACTGTAGAGGCCACAATTTTTTATCCGATTTGGTTCAAACTTGAAATGTAAGTTCATAACACAAAGATCTCGGTTCCTTTCGATATTCGCGCATATCAAACCGTAACTTCCTGAATTATGGCCCCTGATTGTACGAAAAACCGCGTTTTTAGCTTGTGGACCCTATAAAGGTCATAATTTTTATCCGATTTAAAACATCGTATTATTATATCACCGTTACACCTTAAGGACGGCTGAGTTCGAATTTCGTGAAAATCGGCCCAAAACTGACAGACAAAATGGCCGCCCTTCGTTCTCAAATAGCGTAAAAATATGGTATATCAAGGTTGTGGACCCTATAGAGGTTATAATTTTTATCCGATTTTGTTGAAACTTGAAATGTAAGTTTATAACCCAAAGATCCTGGTTTCTTTCGATATTCGCGCATATCGGACCGTAACTTCCTGAATTATGGCCCCTGATTGTACGAAAAATCGTGTTTTCAGCTTGTGGACCCTATATAGGTCATAATTTTTATCCAATTTAAAAAAACGTTTTATTATATCACCGTTACACCCTAAGGACAGCTGAGTTCGAATTTCATGAAAATCGACCCAAAACTGACAGACAAAATGGCCGCCCTTCGTTCTCAAATAGCGTAAAAATATGGTATATCAAGGTTGTGGACCCTATAGATGTCACAATTTTTATCCGATTTTGTTGAAACTTGAAATGTAAGTTTATAACCCAAAGATCCCGGTTCATTTCGATATTCGCGCATATCGGAATGTAACTTCCTGAATTATGGCCCCTGATTGTACGAAAAATCGCGTTTTCAGCTTGTGGACCCTATAGAGGTCTTAATTTTTATCCGATTTAAAAAACCGTATTATTGTATCACCGTTACACCCCAAGGGTGGCTGAGTTCGAATTTCGTGAAAATCGGCCCAAAGCTGACAGACAAAATGGCCGCCCCTCGTTCTCAAATAGCGTAAAATATGGTATATCAAGGTTGTGGACCCTATAGAGGTCACAATTTTTATCCGATTTTGTTGAAACTTGAAATGTAAGTTTATAACCCAAAGATCTCAGTTCCTTTCGATATTTGCGCATAACGAATTGTAATTTTCTGAATTATGACCCTTGATTGTAGGAAAAATCACTTCCTTTTTAGCTTGTTCTCTATCCATCTCTCGAAAATGTGGGCGCATCCTGCCTGGCAGCCGCTGGTTATGAATCTATGTGTATCCTAGAACACGAAGGTGTATATCTGATGTGATTTTAACCATGGCAAAGACTGGAATTTAATCATAACTTTTGATGAGCTTTTCGCGGAATTTTCATATTTTTCCTGTCTGTCTGCACGCTTGTTGATCTACGTGCTAAATTTAGGGAGGTGGGACCTTGCAAATCTGTAAAAGGGGTATATTTTTTAATAAGATTCGACATTAATTTTTTTTTTAAATAACTCAACGACTGTCGAACGACTTCACTCCCTTCAGGAATTTGTAGGCTACGTACTTGACTAGTACGGATGTTGATCTTGGTAGATAACTGCCATCATGCTGTAATAGAACTACACTCAGATCAGCTACCCATACTTAGACGGCGCGAAAATCTGCCAAAACTCTAAAACTAAATTAACGCAACGTATCACGTGACGATACGGATACGTTATACGGATAGGGAAAATTCCACTTGCCAAAAGTCTCTATTGTTCGATATTCTGAAACTTCTAACACGGAAGTATGGCATTCTTATTTCGGCGTATGATTTACATACTTCAGGAACAGGTACCCTCTAAAACCTTAGGCTGTCCCTTTAAGAGAAACGATTGAACAGTGTCACCCAAAACGTTCCTAAAAGAAGATTTGTCATTATCTATCTTGTGTTAGAATATAGAAATGTGAATAGCATATTCATTAAATGATACAGGAATTATTTTTATAGTAACCCATCTTTATACTAAATTATTTCACCTGTATAAATATCATTATTTACAGTATATTCACATTTTAATTAAAATATTCTGAAATACGTTCAACATTTGAGCAAGAAAGGAAGAAGAAAAAGTAAAAAAAGTGATTAGAACTGGGAACCTCTCAGCCAACTTACTCATAGATAGACTTCATCGGCGCATCTGTAATTTTTTTTCTCTTCGTTCTCGCTAAAAAGGAAGATGGCTGATGATGAGTTTACTGAATAACATGGTATGGTAAAGTAAGCATAGTTTTACTTACATGCTCCCTTGTGACAATTATTAACAATATTGTCCACAATAGGTTTCTACACCTTTTTTGTGTTTGTGTCGTAACTGGAGCAGCGTCCAAACGAGAAATAAGAGACAGGCACAGATTAGTAGAACGGAGGCGTGATATATCTTTAAATGACCATGCAGAAAGAAATATGTTATCTTGCCATAATCATGTAAATAAATCATACTTAGAACACGAGCATTATATTTTATAATAATCAAATCAATAAACATTGCAGTATATTTTGTAACATCTTTCAGATGAAAAGTTATAAGCAACAGAAATACATCTGTCCTACCAAAATTAGCCAGAGGCAGCGCGAAATTATGGCAGTAGAATTTTGAATCTAAAATACCACACACAAAACAACCAGGCAATTTTGAATGGTGTCTGTTGTGTAAAATAATCATTATTTATACGTCATAGAATATCAGATTTAATTCTGGGCGAACTGCAGCAATCCGTAGAATTTCCTAATTTTTCACCCCCGCCTCACTTAATTCCCCCCCCCCCCCACACACACTAATTCCAAGAACTACGAATGGGAACATACATTGTTGCACGTCAGGAGTGTAATTGCATACATATATTTACTTGAGGAAGAACTAGCGATTTATATATGGTGCGGTACAAGTACAGTTTAGTACAATGTGGCACATATTATCATCATTCGGACGAGCCTGCAAGAGAACAACATTTATAGGGGGCATCGCAAAGACGCGGAAAATGTTAGATAAGCTCAGGCGTTATCTTGCTGCAAAGATTTCTACGGTACAGTTTTCAAAGCCCCGACACTTTTAAAATTCTCTATGCCTTCCTCGGGCTCTTTCTGCGATACACGGACTTCAATTGCATCGCCCCGAAAGCTTTACAGTAGTATTTAAACAATTTGGATACATATATTATATATAACCCGTTTATGACAAGATAACACAGAGATTAAATAATATATTTTAATTTAATAGAAATCCAATTTGACCTAAATCAAAAAATATAATGAGAGCAAAAACGGAAATCAAATGTTTTCTTTTTCAATTCAGAATATTTTCGGCCATATATGGTTCACAAAGAGAACAGATAGGTTGTCAGGCAAAGAAGCATACACCCACAGCAGCAAAGTCGCCCGGGCTGTCTACAAGGATCGTCGCAAATTTATTGTTTTGTAGGTAATTGGACTATTCAAAAGACACTAAAAACTGATTAAGAGAAACGACCCATTAATTAAAATTCTACTAGCTTTTAATTCTTCCAGATCCTAACATTTGTTATACAAAACATGTACTGGTAAGTTAGTTATGTCTGGCTAACATTTCATTATACAAAACATGTACATATTATACTGGTATATACAATGATGATAAATTTAGCTATCGGAAATCGTTGAAAACTTATAGGTTTTAATCACATAAACACTGTGTATCCACCGACGGAGGAACGGACAGACGGAAGTGACCACAATATACGACCACATTTCAATGTGGGCGCATAAAAACAATAATGATAGCAAAAATGGAACTCTGGTTTCATTTTTCCAATTAGTTCATGTTGGATTGGACCATAGTTCTAGAACGAAAAGACAGTAAGAGATAAAAAAAACAACCGAAATATTTGAAGCAGTTGGGGGTATAAAGTGGCATGCAGCCTGGGAAATCAAAGATTTTAATTTGAAAAATGAGATATAGTTTACAAGAGAATTATATGCTAGAGCCTTCGTATACAGAGGAAATTCAAATATTCCCGTGTGATGTATACACGATATTATAGTCACCTTATATTCTCGATCTTTTTGTTGCATGGTTCGCCTTTTTCTGAATGGCTGAAATAGGTAAAATAAAACATACGTTAAAGTAACGAGTTTTCAGTCTTAATTGTGTTGTCTCTGGTTTCAATAGCAGAAACAGTTGCAAATATTTTCCAGTAAGGGTGGGGCGATATGGAGTATGTCGTAGATGAATTAATTGCATCTTAGCATCTAATGAACGAATAGAGAATGTCCGACGGGATATAAGTTCATCTTTGATAAGGATGACGTTGTAGTGACAATTGTTTGTTATAGGACGGTTAGGTCATTGATAAAATGAAATAAATTTGAAAGCATTATACTTACAAACACATAAATGAGTATAACAAATCCGACATTAAAGAAGACATACACAATAGTTAAACAGCCTAATACTACATTTTCTATAAAATCAGCCCTTTCTTTGTTTGGTAATAAAGTTACTATGCCATGCCACGCACATACAGTAGATAACATAACCATGGACGCTAATAGATATTTATCCTGAAAAATAAATTCATACTTTTACAATTCGATCCCTAGCTATCAGCAAAATCATCCTTTTGGGGTTCATGGGGACGAATATCCCGAGAAAATGTCGCACTTTTAGAGGCTTTTTGCTCTAATAATTGCTTAAATTCTAATTTATATTGACAAAGCATTATTACTATTACAAGGGATTGCTTTTGCTAGGAATTACGACTATTTGATACGGTTATTTCATAGTTTAGTTTGGGAAGTCAAGCCGTAGAATAGTTTAAAAATGATTAGTGCTCTAACGACAATATATAAAGTATGTACATATCAATTAACAAATGAAACAATGATACCTACCATATAAGTGAGATATGATATCCGTGGTAAACTTTGATTAACAACTGATTTAAAGGCTACAGCTGTAAGGACGAGTGTAAATGAAAGTTGTAGTCGATTTTGGGGAAGATCTTTTTTAACTGAGAATGTAGCGAAGGATAAACTACAGATCAAAAACTGAAATCAAAAACATACACAGTTGACTATACGCGTGGAATGGCATATATTTATTTCCTCAACTCGTCTGGAATGCATTTTGCAAGTGTACAAATAAATCGATTTCAGAATATTTATAAGGGTCTTTGGTTTGCATGCAACAAACCACGCCATTCTTGAAACTTCTAAGACGGAAAAATGCGAACCTAAGCTTCTTAAATGTTAAATATTGGAAGACGATATACAATATGAGAGAATCGTCGTTTCTATATAATTACAAATTACAGAAATATTACTTACTGTAACCATAAATATATTCCATACAAAATAACCCGGTCGTCTAGCTGCCCGACATTTGACGGAGAGAGCCGATCTTTTTATTGCCATCTCCATCTGGTCAATTATTAAGTCTTTTTTCTCACACTCCGTGTGTACATACAAATGCCATTCTTGTTCATCGACAAAACTAAGACGATTTACAATATGACGATTATCGTGATCCTCTATTAAATCAACTTCATAAGATGGAAGTTCTGATGCAACAGTAACCGTTAAATCCTGAAATGATACATCCAAAAAGGGAGGGTTATTGCAGTTCAGCTCAAAGACCAGAAATTGTTAAAGGAGGCAAGTCTTTAAATTCAATATCATCCACAGTCTTCGACATGGCGAAAAAGATTTATTGGCCAATTTAAATCAAAATTGATGTTGTTATCTCACCGTGAAAAGATGGGTTTCTGATATCCCATATCTAAGACAAAATGACAATTTTAATAATGGCATAGGACTTGCTCTGGAGCGTCATTTATAATGAAGAGATTCGATGAACGAGGCTAAACATACCCCACAGGAGAATACCACCGGTGTAGACTGAAATAACCAGACGCCAAAGACTGCCATTCAATTTGGACTCTTGGCGTATTTTGCCGAACATAACTGATTAGAAATCAGTAAAAACAGAAACGATTGAATATAAATCAGTTTATATACATTCATAGTACATTATTAGGTGCCAAAGAATGGGATTTAGCTCCTTTAAGTTCATTATCTTGGCCTATTTCAGTCATTATAATGTAAAGGTTATGGTATAAAATCATATCTATCAGAAGGTAAGAAAATTGTTATCAAATTTAGACCAGCAAACTTAAAATATGGTGTTCAACAAGGCCCATCCAATGGGTCAATACTGTTTACAATGTGCATACTAAGAGATAAACGAAAATCCAATGCAAATCATCACTTCTGTGCTATCAAAAGGAACCATTAGAGGATCGTATTCCAAGTATACATTAGGGGATAATGCACGTACCTGAACATCAAAGGGGAAATCGTTGAGTTCCAGGTTTTCCATAAATGTTCCTTTAATTGTTCTTTTTTCAGAAACGAAGGCATCACCTCTGTTATTAAACACAACCCGATACCGCACTACTTCTTTAGGATCACCAATTGTATTCTCTATACTTAATTTAGGATTCCAGTATTTACTAAAATCTGCTATTTCCACACCCTTTAACAAGAAATCAATGAAACTATTACAAATTTATAAAATGGAATCACTAATCAATTAGAAAATATTGCAACATGGCTGCAAATTTCTGGCAGACATAATCGAGTAAACATAATTATGAGAATGGAAGTAACAGACTGTTAAAACTTTTAAAAATTAAAACCACTATGAGTTACCAAAACATGTTATAAGTTTAAAAATAGGAATACAAATCTTTCAATATTCGATTTTGGTAAAAATAAAAAGACTTTTTAAATATTATATACAAGCTGGATATACATAACTCAAGCCATAATACAAATTGTATCACTTACCGATTGCTGAGTTTCGCCATCTAATAATGGCTCTCGCCATTTTGCCCGAACAATGACATCTGCCGTATACTGTTCTTTTAATGTGTCTATTTCACCAACTTTAAAAAACTGTACCCAAACCTGTACTCGCACCTGAAAAACAAACAAAAAGTGTTGAGAACGTCTTTAGTTCATATTTTGTTTCTTGTTATTTAGCTTAATTTCCCATTCTCTTGTAAATGAACGCGAATATGCTATAAAAAACAATGCTCAATCGCTTTACGTATCAGAAGCTAGATCACTGATTTACCATGATCAGAAATTTTGAGTTTCGAAGATTACAGACGAACATGAACATATATAACGATGCTAAAATATAAGATGTGGGTGATAAATGAAAGGCTATCTACAAAAAGTAGCCAATGTCTGTATTTAATAAAGATGAGTTGATGCGATAGATATGTTACTAAGGAGAATATGAACAAAAGCTTATATATAGTCCAAATGTCAGGTAACTCAATACCTTAGCACACCTTACTCATATTATACGGTATAGTGTGCATAGACATATACATGCATACAGTAACAATTAAAATCACATGGAATATATGTCTCGCTGTAGATCACAAGGCCTGTTATCAACCCGAATATCGGGTTTGATCGAAGATCTATACGTGAAAATAAGAAGCGCACCACGGTTACCTCCCACTTCTAAAAAGAAATATGCCAGTTAGTCCCGAAATGAGCAGGTTAGAACTCTAAGGGGGTACTCGATTGAACGTTCCGGAATTGAATTCTCTCAATCCCAAAAATAGTGACAATCGAGTGAAAAGGTGGATTTCGGGCGACAACTCATGCGTTGACTGAATAAGTAAATATCTCAACCAACCATGCAGCCGAAACCTTTTACTTACGTCACGATTCTTCTCACGCCACCTCCGTTATCGAGACTGACAGAACTGTGACAGAACTGAATTCCGCTTTACTCGATTGCAATTCTGTCAATTCGGGACGTTCTGGACTGTAAATCGAGCATCACTCCATGTCTCTTAAAGGGGAGATAATCCAGATGGTCAATAAATATTTAGAAAGTACTTTTATACTTGAGAGACTTATTGCGATCTAATTAACTAGAAGTACAAATAACTGTAAAAATTATGAACCGATTTGTAAATGATTAAGGGCATTTTAGAAGTAATGGGTTGAATAATTTGGAGAGTAATACGTGTTTTAGTAAGAGTCCTTCTTATTAAATCCTTCTTATTCCTCAAGCGATCAAACAAACAAACCAACTTTCTCGTTTATCTATATATATTATTTATTACTTTTCCTATAGCAAATTAATATGAAGCCTTTAAGAATTCGACCGCCAACTACCAAATAATATCTTTAACATAAGCGTGTAATTACTGCTCATTACACTTCAATTAGAGATCAAATTCTCCATGATTGAAAATTTGGCACCGAATTCAACATGTTAATATTATGCCTTTCTTATTCACAACTTAGAACATTACGAGCGTCCGTTATCATATTGTGCAAATTCAACATTTACATGTAATATGGTTGTGTTTATGTGTATTCAAATCACATTGTAGTCTTTAAGGATTTTATATACAGGCCATATGATAACCACTAATACAGATATACCACCCATGGCATCAAGATGCAAACATTTGGCGGGAAGATGTACAATAATAACAAAATAAGTTGAACCCCAATAACAAAATATTTATGAATGAATAACAAGAGAGGCTGGACAGCTAAATTAAGCTATTTACACTAAAATCTTATAAATTCTGAAAACCTTATATTCTATTTTCTAGTGTTTCTAATATAATAATTATTTTCTGGCAATATTATTTGAAAATTATGAAGGCTTCTTGAAATCACAAAAGCATAAATTATTCTTTAACCATTCTGTGAAAAAAAACCCAGAAGCCTTCAGACTATTTAAAGAATGACTAATGTAAGTATGGTATTAAGTAGGTTATCCAGAAAAGGATATCGTAGATCAGTTGACCAATTCATGAGTATATTAAAATACTGCTACATATGATTCTATTATATATACTTAAATTCATATTAAATACAGTTCGTCAGTGGTAACTTTTGACCATAATATCACTGGTGTTATCTCGCGTTGAGATGTATTAACAGTGTCAATAAATCCCAACAATAAAAATAACATCGCACTGAAATATTGTACAAGATCTTGAGATGTAGATCTACGGTGTATTGTCCTTGAAATAATCTGAACATTGTACCTTAGACATGACGTTGGTGAATTTCTTGCCAACATACCAATTGATCGACCTGGTGCTTTAATTCTCTGACGTGTAATCAGAAGTTTTCTCTGGTGATGGCATGTCTTGATTCATAGACCCTGTTATTTCCCCAAAAATCGCATATCATTGAAGCGGGTATCAACTGACAGATAATGGCCTTGTGATACTTTTATCACGTTGTATCATCAATGTACTGTATCTTCTTCTATTAATACAAGCGTAAATTCGCTTGATTCATTGCCAAATAATTGTATCGTTAAAGTATACACAAGGTGTTCAGTTGTTAAGGATACTATAAACCGTTAAGTTCTAACCACTTATATCTTGTTAAAACTTGAACTGTTTGCAGTGGTTCAAATCAATTCACAGTATAGAAGGGTGGCGAAATTCAAAGGGTTGTCAGATTGCTGTTTTCTTAACAATAACACAGTCAACAGAGCGTATATTGAACAGTCAGTCAGTAGACCGTCATATAGTTCTGATGGAAACTGAAATTTATGAAAATCCACGTGAACTTCACATTTGTACTACATTGCTGAATGCGACAAAAATGTTGCAGAATAGCGAAGGGCTGTACCTTTCCACGGTTCCATGACTTACACAGTCATATATCTTCAATATATAAAAGAGAATGTTTTAAAGGGACTATCCCGATTTGAACATAGTCTCAAATATAAAAGTCTGAGTACGTATGAAATTTAAGCGCCAAAATATAGAGGAATGGTGTATTTACCCTGTCTCAAAATTTCAGCTCAAAATATTGAGTTGTTTGGACGTGAACGACAAAACTGCTTATCCGGACACGTAACCCTTTTAAGATTTCGGGGCAATTTTTTCGTGAGTGACCTGATAATCGATTCCCATTCCTTTAGAGGTCTATACAATGAATGACCCATGTGCTGTACTTGATAACGAAAGGTAAATTTCACCAACACATTATTTTTATAAAATAAAAGCTGGTTTTATCCAGACACCGCATAATACAGCTTGGGACACCGGTCTCCATTTCCAGATGAAGACTGACAGGTTTAAGTTTTTTGAAAACCTATCACATATATTAGTTGCTCGACCCTAAGGTAGAGGATTTTAAGGGATTTTAACACAAAATTAAGCAGTTTTATTCTCGAAAATATTATCGGGATGGGCCCTTTAACCATAGTTTTGTTTACAAGAGATTTAAAGGTGATATTAATTTTGCATTCGGTATTTAATGATGGAATTGACTATTAATGATTATTGACAACTCCATGACACGCCATGCTGTCCAAGAGATAATTATTTTATCCACCTTGCACACGACGTTTGCGCCCTTAAGACTCAAAGAAAACGAGTATAAAATACTTCATAATAATATCCGTTTTACGTGAAATTTAATGCTATTTTTTATATTTGGTTAATCACTTAAAATTGAAATTGACAATTAATGATTATTGCGTTATTATGGGTGTTTGTGGTTGTGTTCGTTAAATGAAACCAAACGACTGAAATTATAAAGCACATGTATTAAATAACTTCAAAGTAATAACTATTTTTTTTTACAAGGAATTCAATTAGGCTATTTATTTTGTATTTGGCCCAGTATTTAATGATGGAATTAACAATTTAATGATTATTGCGTTATAATGGATGTAGCACAATTGGAGATGAACTCAACCGTTTCAATGTCGGGTAACACAGCTAGTAATAATACGAGATTGCAAAAAAATAATTTGTCCAGAACATTTAACAACTAATATATAATAATGATTTTCTTGTGAAATACTATCATTGCTGCTATACATTCCCATAAAACACCACATAAACACCTTGAAGCCATTATAACAATTAATAACCAATTACACATCGTCTATTTTTAGTAAACTTTAAAAACACCCAAAGGTTCGATGTTGATAAACAAAATATCTTTATGGAATTGCCTGGCACCTGTCTAATTTATTATATTATCAGACAACCTGTTGATTCCTGCTTCAGAATAAACCTCATTTAGATAATGCCAGGGTCTTAAGGCTTGATCTTTTATCTGCAAAGTCAAAGCAGAAATGTCTAGGGAGAAAGTTTTCATTTGAATTGCAGTTAAATATGATACCAGCATTTTGTTTGCTGTGCTTTCCATATTCTGGATATATGTATACCACCAACATCTATGGATTAAAGAAGAAAATAATTTTCCACACTGATCTATTATTTGATATAAAAGCTCCAAAGGCATGCCAAATCTGTTGAGGGACAAAATATTTAAGTGATTAGATAAAGAGAACCATTATCTCAGCAGAGGCGTTTCCACAATTTCAGAATCATCTTATTTTTTAAAACTCAAATGCGGTTATAGATACGAGCCCAACAAAACACAGTAGTTATTTTGTATGTCTGTTTGAGCATTATACATGTAGTCTACGCGGCTAGTGTAATTAATAACTCAGGTTATTATTTTAATTGGGAGCGGCGGCGACTCAGTGAATAAGGCGTTGGCTCGGTAACCAGATGTCCCGGTTTCGATTCCAGTGTTGACGGAGAAAGTTCCTCGGGATATTGCGGCGATGTTAGACGCTGACCGGGCATAATTTCCCTCAGTATTCTGCATGTCGTATGGGAGAGACCTATTTCACATGTACACCTGCAGATTTCGTCATAGGTCATGAGATGCAAACAGTTATACGAATCCCTCGCCCTAACCCCGGGATAGTAGACAAAAATCATTTTTAGAAAATCCAATCCTTAGTAGGAAACACACAAATGTGGTTGTCACCCGAGAGCCTCAAATTTATTCTCTTTTCTTCAGAAACAAAAATACCAGAATACCACAAGCGACACCGAAGGAAGACCACCAGCGCCACCAACACCAAAAAACAGCGAAATCAACTTTGT